CATTTTAAGGAAAACCGTTAGACCTGTTGTCATGAAACTCACAGGAGTAATCAATCTTACTAAAAAGCAGGTCAAGTTCGAAAATCGGCATGATCGGGCCACTGTTTTTGTAGTTATGCTGTTTTTTCATTTTCCATCATATATGCAACACTGTAAACACAATATAAGAAAAACAGATAAGCCAATTGTCATTAAACTCACAGGAGTGGTCAATCTTACTAATTCGCAGGTTGAGTTCGAAAATCAGCATAAACGGGGCATTATTTTAGAAGTTATGCTGTTTTTTGCACATTTCCTCAGATTCAACTCTTAGGCATGTAAACAATCTCATTATTGAACTAATAAGATACGTAAAAGTGTTTGTTTGACATTTCCTGCATCTTTACAACATTGTTAGTTGATTATGTAAAAATGACGGTAAACTTGTTATTGTGTATTGTGTAATAAAGTGTCAGAAATGGAAATAAACTCATATCATAGCAGTTTGTCAGATTCAATCATTCACTATGTTCAGAATCTCAGAATGGAAGAAATTGGACTTTTAACACTGCTCTATTGATATTTTTCCCATCTCAGCAATTTTCTTAGATGATCATATAAAAATTGCAGTAAACTGTTTATTTTGTTTTATGTTAAAAAAAGTGTTTAAAATGGAAACAAACCCATGTCAGAACAGTGCTGGCTTGTTTCACTTTCCTCAGATTCAATTCTTAGGCATGTTAACAGTCTCATTATTTAACTAATAAGACATGCAAAAGTGTTTGGTTGACATTTTCTGCATCTTTACAACATTATTAGTTGATTATGTAAAAATGATGGTAAATTTGTTATCGTGTATTGTGTAATAAAGTTTTAAAAATGGAAATAAACTCATATCATTGCAGTTTGTCAGATTCAATCATTCACTATGTTCAGAATCTCAGAATAGAGGAAATTGGACATTTAACACTGTTGTATGGATATTTTTCCCATCTTGTCAATTTTGTTAGTTAATCGTATAAAAATGGCTGTAACCTGTTAATTTTGTTTTATTTTAAAAAAATTGTTAAAAATGGAAAAAAAAAAACATTTCAGAACAGTGCTGTCTTGTTTTCATTTTGGCATTTTCAAGTTGTGACTTTGAAGTTCCATGGGCCTGAAGACCTTTGCTAGTCACATTTTCTGAATGTCCATGATACTAATATTTTATTAGGTACCGGCAGCAAGCACATAACGCACAGAAAACCCTGCTTAAAAGGGCCAAAAAGGTCATTTTCAAGGTTTAATTTCAGTATTAAATTTAATAGTAACCCCCTATATTTTTATACCATATAAAAGGGCAGGTGTTGCTCTTTCAAATCATATAGAACAAAGCTAGATTTGACATTAAAAAACGTAGTCTAATAAGAGTTGATTAAAACATGTTACGCGCAGTTTAGCAGCATTGTACAGCTGCTGACAGCACAGCAGCGCTTAGGTGCAAATGCGCTCCTTGACAAGGCATTAGAAAACGTCTCGGGGATTTTCCGCTATTACTTGCACACACATGTTTTTGTTGTCATCTGAAAGCTGAAAAGAAGAGCTAGCCAACGAAGTAACATTCGAAAATATCCACCAAGGAAAAATTATAAAAGTCGACAAAAAAAGGTAAGTTTTAAAGATTTGTTGAAAGAAAAACTAAAATATTTATATAATGCAAATTATTTACCCCCCACAAACTATATATCAAAATAAAGTGCAACTTCTGTAGATTTTAATGATATTCGAAACTAAATTACAAATCCACGGGCGCAAATTCTCCAGGCGATCAAAGATATCAACCCGTGTGCCGTCAACAACATGGCTGCGCCCACGAAGAGCGTGTCGAAAGCTCCTCTGCCGTTTTTATCATAAAATTTGTGTCTACTTGTCTAATTTAGGGACAATGAAAGGTAAGTAACCCTCTAATCTAGTCACGGTCACATTGCTTTTGGCATTTCTTGACGAAATATATAAAATATGTCCGAACTACTTCAATATGCATGTTGTTTTGGGGTAAAGAAAGTTGAGTGAATTTGGTTCGTATTACGGACGAGGCCTCAGGCAAACAATGGACTTCAGAGCTTTCCTAGTGTGTCCATATTAAAAAAATTGTGACACGTTTCTGTTATACTAGTGTTACATATGATCTAAAAATTGTACTGATTTAATTTAAGGACTTAGGGCCTCATATTTTTGAAGATAATTAATTTTCTACTGCACAAGATCGTGAGTGATTATACTAGNTTAATTCTCCTCAGAAGCAATGGCTGATCAGACTTAAATTTTCATTTTTCAAACACTTGCATTTTAAAGATGTGACTTTTCACTCCCATTCACCTATGGGAGAAACGCAATATTTTGTGAACTCTCATGGGCCTTAAGCTATATTCTTATTGTCCATGTTACTTGATGTGCATAATTAAAATTTGGTGTTGATTTTGCTGTTAAGCATTATGTAATATTGTATCAAAATTGACAAAATAACCTATTTTGTGCATCATTATTTACTGCTTTTTATCTGTACATTTGACAGCTTTGCTGCCTTTTTTAAACTTGCATTGAATAGCATGGATGATATTTTTTTTACAGAGAAGCTGACAGAGCAAGGCAGGAGGAATATAGACGTGAAATGAATGAAATAAAAGAAAGAGTTGACAAGAGGCCATTTTTGTTTGAAAGAACAACACAGGTAGCTTTCCTTATATTTAAAGCCATATTGTTTTATACTGGCAAATAAAAAAGCAATTTCAATCTTTGTCTGTTCGATACATTTATCTGTTTTATCAAATCAGTCATTGTGTGCTAAATTAGATTTTTTTTTCAGACACTGACTTTAATCCACACACTAAAACAATAATTATACTTTAATCTTCAACATTGTAATTACCAGCTTGCCATTTGTTATAACCAGTCCTGTTGGTTTTTAAGGTTCATAGGACTCTGATGATGTAGTTTCTCATCAATAAAATTCACTTCATATTTTATTTCATTAGTTCTGCCCTAAAGTTGGCAGTTCCAATTTTAGTCTAGTCTTCTCTCTGTCACATCATTTTTATTCCATAGCTAGTTACATCTCCTTCGTACCATTGCCCATTTACTTTTTGATTAACATATAAAGCTTGGCTTTTCTGTCTCCTTTCTGTCAATAACAGGTATATATATTAAAAAAATTAGGTAATTTTTTTTCTTCACAATGGTGCAAGTACTGGATGCATACTGTATGCATTTTCACAAGAAAAATGATACATTTTCCCAACAAACTGTAAGAGAAATTACAGTGCTGGAATAATAATTTAACAAATAATATTGGAATACATTGCATATTTTCCAATAACTTTTATAGGTAAATGCCAGAAAAGCGGCTGAGAGGAAGTATCATGATACACTAAGACGTGCAGGAATCGATGAAGAATTTATTGCTGATAAAGGTTCTCACGCTAGGGGATACAGATATGAGGATGATGATGACGATGATGATGATGCCAGTGACCTGGGCTCCTACAGGGCCACTGTCAAACAAGGTTATGAGGATGATGGGCTGTCCGATGGGGATCGCACACCAGAGGAACAGTCAGACTTGGAATAATTTCACTGTATTTAATTGGACTTGATCAAATCTGGTAGACTCAAGAATCAGGGATTGGCTAGAGTATTTTATATGTAGTACATTTTATAATATGCATTGATCATACAAAAAAACTTTCATACATGTAATCTACAAAAACAACAGCTAAAGAATTTTGAGCTGAAAAATATTGACAATTCCAAGTTTTGGACATTGTGTTTCCTGTTTCTGAGGTAGCAAAATTAACAGTTCAAAGGAGCATTGCATTATTGATTGTTAAACATTAACACTTAAGGGTGCATATTGAGACAGTTTCCTGTGAATATTAACCCCTGCCCGGACCCACCAACCTTTATCATCCTTTCCTGACACTTGCCATAGCTCTTTGACAAACTGGGGAAATTAAAAAGTCCTTACTCACACTTAAATGATAGTTTTCTGAATTCTGTCATCTCTTCAAGGTTCTGTGCAATTCGGAAATGTGTCAAGATGGTTGATGGGCTGTGAGGTTCAACCTGGAGAGGAGGATTTTAATTATTTTTGCAACTATTAATTTATGGCAATAATCATGTTAAAATATGATCAAAAAGTATATCTTGTCCACAGATAAGCTCTACAAGAAGTGTTATTTGTACATAATGAGTATTTAAAACCCTGCACTTTTTCACTTTCACAAGATGTATAGGAAAGTTGCATAAAAAAACCAAAGTGAAAAAAAAAAGGATATATTAGTAAGTGGTATCTATCAAGGCTTTTCTGTAGTTTTGTAAAATGTGCTTTGTTGTATGATGTTCACTTTAATGGTCAGTATGTATTTAATTACCAATTAAAACTACTTTGTGAAGAATGAATGATAAATTTCAATTCTTTATGCACGGACACAGTGTGTCTGTATATATAGCCATCACCTGTCTGTCATTGTCTGCTATGAAATTTTAAAATATATAATACAGTTAACTAGCATGACCTCATTGTTACATCATTACACAATGTATCATGTATAATACAGATGGTTTTCTTGAAGTTGCAAGAGGGGTGGGGGGGGGGGGCATTGGACATTTTTGTTGATCAAGAAAGCAACTATGTATTTTACTGAGATGCATGAAATGTTCATATTATTTAGCATGATCTGTGCATGAAGCACCCCATTCCCATGACTTGTGAACAACTGTTCATTTTTGCAAAAACATGGAATTTCCTTAGGTAAACCATAATTTATCCCTTAATTACCAATCCGATTAATGAATCTGTTAATGAATCAGATCCGATATTCAAAGTTTGTCCTCGTTTTTTTATTTTTTAACATTTGGTTTTTTGTATAAGAGATTATTACAAAGGGGCAGCCATTGCTAGCTTCCGACATCTGTATTATACATGGCACAGGGCTTCTGTACAATACATATTTTATCTGTACCACAATGGTGGTCAAAATAAAGTTCACAGACATTTAGAAGAAGCCCAAGACTTAGCGTATATCGCTCCTGGAGCAACTTGTGTTTGTAGGAGCATTTGTGCTTGGTGCGAAATTCATGTTGGTGTTAAACCTTATTGGTAACCATCAATAGAAACCTTAACCAGAACAAATACAGAAATATTCTGAAAACCAACTGCCTTCCATTTGTTAGAAACCTGTGAGGAAGAATACCTTGCTGCTTCAGAGCCCTGGTAGCAGCCAGATGAGGGCAGACGCACCACTGACCATTGCTGACTAGACACTGTTATTACTTTTTCACAGATGACAATTTAAAAAAATGGAGATTGAAATGCTTTTAAAGGTTGATGTATGACATAGAATCAGCCGTGTGTTTTTGATTGTATAATTAGGTGAATTCAATTAAAGAGCTGATGTCACAATTAAAAGTTATTAAAACAAGACATAAACCCTAGTATTCATTTTCAAGTCAGACAAGTAGGAAAAGACTAAAAAAATTATTTGGAAAAAATAGTCAAATGTCAAGTCTGTATATAACATATGTTGAATGAATATATAAAAATAGTATTAAAATAGAGTTGATAGCATTAAAAAACTGGCTTAGATTCTGTATTGCATATTCACTCACCATTCATGAAATGGAAACAAAAGTATTTTATTGTAATAGCATCAGACAGTACAGCATGTAGTCACAAACATACATGTCAATCAAAAGGATTGTTTAAAAGTGAAATTTGAGATTATTAATCTCAGTACATCTTTTTTACTATTAAAACTTAATAAAATGATGCAAATAGTACACTGATATTTCAACTCTTCTATTATCAAATGGTACGATGCATGAATTTATAATTATACTGTAAACTCACAATGCTTTAAAGCTTATCATAACAATCACACATTATTTTACATTACTTGCACATTACTCTAATGAAGAAGCAGCCACTGAATTGATAATTTACCTTCAGAAAAGTTTTCACCAGGTATATTTCTTTTAAATCGAAATGCATACAACACCCGACTTCAAATATGAATTTCTTTAATAATCCCTGGGAACATATATTGACCAACACCACTCAATCATTAAAGATATCAAGTTGGAACTTTCGAAGATTTACCACCTAAACCTCTACTGTATATTATTAAAATTTGATGTCTGCAGCTGTTAGAATAGATCCTAATTCATTACATCATTTTACCAATAGTGGTTAATTTAAATTAACAAAATATATATAAACAATATTCTCAAGGTGTTTGACTCAACTAAATAGATGCCCTATAATGACAAACATTAAGTTTGCTATTCACACATTATTGTAAGTTTACTGTCATTATCATCACTTTCATTGCCATCCATTTCCATGATCGGATCAATGGACTGAGCGTGTGTTGTTTCTGCAATACTACTAGCAGTTGTTATATGAACTTGCTCATCTGCATGTAAATCATGCAAACTCATGTTTCCTGCCATTTCCTCGTGATCTAAAGTCAAGTGTAAGTCACTCTGGTATATGATTTCTTCTTTGCCTCCCTGAGTACCATGGTAGCTGGTAGTTAAACTGGACATCTCTTGAGGCTGGGTCAGCACTACCACATTAGCACCAGAAGTGTGGGTGGGTAGTGTAGAACTCATGCATTCATCATTGCCCAAAACTTCTACAAATACAGATTAAAAGACAACAGTAGCACCTCTTTGAACAAATGGCAAAACTGACCTCACATGATGGTACATATGCAGACATTTAACAAAGAAACTTATAGAAAAAGATTCAATGACACTTTGCAAATTGGACTGGGAAAGAGTTGAATCGGAAATAATCCAGGTCAATTATAATTTCAAAGGCAAGTTGCAATTTAGTCCTGAGGAACATTTTTGTAAATTTGAGAATAACACGTAAAAGGTTTTTCCTTTAATGGCATTTACAAGGCAATATCAACACTGACAGACAGGACATGTTCAAGAGATGGCTATATAGTCAAGAGACATGGCATCTGCCCCAACTTCCAGTGAAGCTCTTCTTACCTTCTGTGCCAAGGATATTATTCTGTAGGTCTAAATCTCCTTCTGGTTGAGTTGTGACAGCTACAACATCTTTTGTTACTGCATGAGGAAAAATTATGGACTCACATGGACTGCCATGAAGATCTGGAATTTTATTTCAATCAAAAAGAACACAATGAATATATTTGACAATGTAGGGCTGTTTGAAAATGTGCACAAAGATGTATGCTGACAATTATATTTACAGCTTTCCAAATCTACAAATCTCAAAACAGGAATATGGCATGGTCATGACTTTTTTCTGTAGGATAATATGATTCTTACCTGGGTTGCCAAACTGATATAAGTCATCTTGATTTTGCTGAATAAACAAAACATTTTGGCAACTGTCCATTCCATCATCCTGCTGAGCAATGGTGCTGGATTTACTGGGCCTGCCCTTTTTCAACGATTTGGACAAGAGGTGTCCCTTCATGTGAACATTTCTACTGCCACTTTGAGAAAATGACTTGTCACACAGTTCACACATATACATTTTCTTCCCTATGAAGAAATGATGTTCATTATTCTTCTTGTATATGAATCTTAAAAGCATGCAATACATTATCCATGAATTTTTACAGATATCATACTACACCTAAACATTAACCATTCATCACTTCTTTATCATCTAAATGAGAGCAATTTTCTAAAGTATATTCAAGGACATATGTATACATGGTTCAGACAATTTTATTCTTATGTAAGTTACATATATCCTGCATGTGCTTACCTGAATGAGTGAAAAGATGTTTCTTTAAACTTGATTGCTCAGCAAAGCTTCTATTGCAACCGCTTACATTGCAGATAAATGGTCTTTCACCTACAATAAAGTGTTTATTTGGTAACAATAACAATTCACATCAAGACCAGTAAAATTTAGCCAAAACAATGAACTGAGAAAACATGCTGTTAACCACAGAGAGAGAGAGAGAGAGAGAGAGAGAGAGATGTCAAATGTACAGACAAATGCAGAAAATAATGATGCACGAAATAGGTTACTTTGTCAATTTTGATGCAATAATACATTATGCTGTACAGCAAAACCAACACCAAATTTAAATTATGCACAACAGTTAACAGGAATATTAGGAATATGTAATTAGCGTAAAGCTTCAGCCACATGAAAGTTCAAATTCACACACTGAAAATGAGAGAATGAATAAAATTTCACAAAAAGAGCATCAATTGGAAAAAAAATCCAACCAAGCTGATGTTCCAATTTGAGCTATATGGATATCCTAAGAATCATTTTTGAGCTATGTCATAAGCAACATGGTTTTCCTTTCATAGCTTTTGTGGTGGCAGTCTTTTTTTTTTTTTTTCAATTTTAATGCAATATATCAAATTGTGGGAGGCCAGAATCTATTGTCAAGTATGGTATTCACTTGACAATAGATTCTGGCCTCCCACAATATATCAAATTGTGGGAGGCCAGAATCTATTGTCAAGCGAATACCATACTTGATCTGCAGACTAGTTAGTGAGTGGATCAACTGGTTCTAAACAGACCCATTGCCCATACATAGAAATGTTAGATGCAGTGTCTGCATGTAGTGTTGCTACTTTTTCTACCTTTCTTTTCTTTTCTATAAACTAATAGAAAATATGCTGATCTTTCCCTACAGAACCCCTACCTGTATGTACCCTCATATGGTTTTTCAAATTCCCTGCTGTAGAAAAAGACTTGTCACAGCCCTCCTCTGGGCACACATAGGGCTTCTCACCAGTATGAGATCTCATATGCACCCCAAGACTCTGGGAAGTGTAAAATTGTTTGCCACAGCCATCATAATTGCACCTGTAATTGCGTTGACCCCTATAATAAAAATAAGTGTGAAGATTTTGATTCACCAAATTTTCTTAATGTTATGTTGAGATAAATGATCAATGTTGCTAATTATAAATAAAACAAATTTAAATAGATTGGATACTACCAATTTCAGAAAGAATTGGAGCAGAACGCCTTGTCTAAACAAGGCCGCAAAGCTGTCAAATGTACAGACACAAAGCAGAAAACACTGATGGTAGAGCGTATGATACTGTAAAATGTACAATATATAAAAATATTCATAATGCTCTTTAAACATTGTTTTTATTTATCCATTAATCTATTTTATTATTTATTTTATTAATCTTATATTAAAAGAAGAGTATGATCTTTATACATATTTTTCTTCTCTTCTATTTGACTCGGTAGTGGGATTTGACCTGACACATGCCTATGCCTATGTTGTATATTATTTTTTTCTATGTAACTGTGATATTTATTTATTTATCTATTTATTTGTGTAATTGTAGTTCTATGATTATATCACTTGATAATACCACCAAATATATTATGGTTTATATCATTAATTTTTTTCTACAAATTGACTACAGTTTTCAAAATTTCTTTGACTTTGACTACAAATAAAAAGCTTATTTTTTAAAAAGATAATGCTGGTTCGAATTCTTTTCTCCAAAAATATCCTTAAATAGCTGCTAAAATTGGTTTATTCACTGTTCAATTCTGACGTTTCTTGTGGGGATTTCCCAAGGAGAGAATCCAAGAGGACAAGGTCAAATGCACCTCATCTGAGGATCAGAAGTGATCCTATCTACTGCCAACCAAGACTCGTTAACCAATGATCTGTAAATATCCAAACAAAATGAAATGCCAGGGGCTATTTAATACATTCATCTTTGAATACTATTCAAAAATTTGTTTTGCGTGTGCATAGGTGTGAGTGGGTGCAAATATTTACATTCGTTGCTGACTGTGGCATCAGAAACTTTTCTGATTATCTGCATTCACCTCCCATCTTGAAAGTTGGCATAAATGCCTTGCAACTATTATACATTTCTGACATGCATTCTCAATTGAGTATAATGAACTTGTGAGTTGCAAAGACTGTTATCACTTGCCCCATTAGAATTTTGATCCATGAGGTAATGCTGCTTGTACCAATAAGGCTTGCACAAAATCCACATCCTTTGGTGGAGAAATTGACTGACTGACAAGTCTCTTGAAATTATATTAACTTCAGAGCCTCCTTTGTTTCAGCATATGTGCAGTGCTTCAAGCTGTACTTCCATTCATTAAGATTACTCATAACTAGCATGTTTGTTTGATATGATTTAAATGATACAAGAAAGCGTACAAATTTTTAGACTGTGTGCATCAGCACAACATACAATTACCAAGCTGGTATTTGAACTTGATCTGTATTTTAGTGCCATAAATCAATCCGGAAATTTTAATTTCTATTCGGATATTTAATCTGTGCCTAAGCACTTAACTTTTGTGATAATTAAGCTAATAAATTTAAAATATCTTGAAAAAATGCATACGTATGGGTCAACATGTGGTATCTGAGATGAGCAGGCCATGCAAACTTCCGACCACAGCCTTCAAAGCTGCATTCTAATACCCTTTCTCCATTGTGTGAGAGCTGATGTTGTCGTAAGTATCCCATAGTGGTGAAGGTGCGACCACAGTCATCAAAACCACAGACAAAACACTTGTCTGTAAAATAACAAGAATTAAAAGGATTAATGCTAAGAAGAGTAATTCTTAATGATACTGTATTAATTCTGACATATTACTTAACTTGTAACATTACAACCAGATGTTGAAAACTGGTCTCTTTACTGTGAATAGGAGTCAAAACCTAAAATATGACATAAACATACCATGACGTATAAATAATAAGTATCTATCATGATCATTTAAAAAAATTAGGTAAGATGCAATTTTTACCTGCTTTTTTGCCTTTATGCTTAGCACCAAAGTTTTTCCTTTTTGCTTGCTTATTTTGTATTTTGACCAATTTATCCACAGACTGACTTGTATCAAAAATGACCTTAGCTTCCACTATTCCTTTAGCTGGATTGTTTGCAAGCACTAATACTGGTCTCCCTTGATTTGGTCCCATACTCACAAGTTTACTGTGCAAATCTTGCATGTTGACATAGTACATGCCTTGTTCATGCAAATTAATAGGGATATGTTTATCGGTAATGCTAGTTATGCCATTGATCCCTTCTAGAGGCAAAAGGGAAGTGTCAAGGTTTTCTTCAAGCCCATTAACAGTTTCTGTACATTCAGTTTGCAAGGAATTGCTACTGAACACATGTTGATCAATTGTTCCTTCTCCTTCTTTGTCTTGGTCATGAAACAGGTGTGCATGCATGATGCTTTCCATGTCTGGTGTGCTAGATGCTGACCCTGATGCACCAGCTCTGGTTAAAAATATGCTACTATCAAACGTGTGTTCCATTTTGTTTGAACAATCAGGGAGTTCGGAATAGGAAACGCTGTTGCTGCATTGACCTCTACAAGCATCTTCACTTGTATTAATACTTTCATCCGTCACCAGACATAAAGACTGGTGTCCACTTGCTGAGCTCATTATGCTATTTTGGCTTGCTGGAACCTGAAAAAGTGAACTTGTGAAATTAAAGATGCACAGTGTAAGATTTCCCATGGAAAGCTTGTACTTCCCAAATTTTCCTGGGCTAGGAGGTGTTTTCTCTAACCATCCTCAGATTGCCCTTCCTAACACTCACCATAACTTTGAAACAATCTGAGAAAGTTAATAAGTCCTTAATCATTAACTGGGGGGTTGGGGTGGAGATGAAGGGAGGCCAGAGACTGACTCATTTATATACCCTTTCCCTTGGGGAATGGTATTTAAAACTACCCCTAGAGGAACTTCCAACATTCAACAATCACAGTATGTGGCTTTTGTCTTCTGTATTAATATTCTTGATATACACCACATTTCACATTTATACAGCAATCCACTACTGAGCAAGACTAAAAAAAGTGTCATTTCTTTACCAAAATGGCCCTGAACTAGCGTAAGGCTTTAATGTTAAGAATCGGTCCCACCGCGACGTAACTAACACAAATTAGATCAAATTACAATTAGATGCAAAAACTGATATCAAACTAATTCTTTAAAAAACATCTTAAAGTTCAGACGACGTTGGTATGCCCATCGACTTACACGTCATTATTCCGACTTTTGCAATACATTGCAACATATATATTTTTTTCTCGTGCGAACTTGTACTTGCTGCTCGTTTTGCCGTCTGCACTGCTGAGCATTATGGGGTGGACATATTTAATAACCGGAATATTTGATAGGTGGCGCACTTGTCAAACGGAAACAAACGAAAAGCAACTTATTTACTTATTATTTGAGTTGGTTAATACATGTACATTTTTTCAACAAAATAGTATACTCATAATCCACAAGGAAAATGTTGAGTGAAAGTATCCGATAATCTAAACAATAGGGCCTCTGCTAATCTGTGGAGATTTCCACTACGGAACTGCCCGAACTTAAACGACATGGCGGCTTCTTACCAGTTTGAACCGGTTACTTAGATTGCCGTTTTTAGCATTGAAAAATCGAGGGAGAAGCGTGAACAATAGTGACGGAGGTAAGTCTTAATATTTCCGTTAGTATAATGCACAGAAGTAATTTTGAGTGGACAAGGGTCTCTTGCATGCATCAAAAATGCTGTATGTTACCGATTTCATGGGCGCCGCCATCTTGATTTTCCTTGGCGGGGATAACAAAGTGTTCAACGTGAATCCACCCTTCCTGACATTGGCATTGTTCAATATGTCATGTATGTCGTGTTGTGAGAAGCATGAAATAAGTACGTGGCGCACATATTATGTACGTGACGTACGTGTTATTCTTTCACAGATCAACTCCTCTGAGTTATATGTCATGATAATATGTTCACGTTCGTCGTCACGTATGAAAACGAAATTACTGGATTACGAAAGACATGTGAATGTTACCATTCAATCAGTTCCCTGTGACGTCATGTTTTCTTGGCAGATGGCCGACAAAAAATGTCTGTTGAAATTACCGGCAAAAGTCATTTATATTATGTATACAAGTAAGGGATGGACTGTAAAATTTTGCCAGTAACTAAGAATACGTTGATTGGAAGTGTGAAATTTCTTAAATCCCTAGAGAGCAAATCTTTAAAGAATATTGTGAAGATAAATGCTGTATTTTGTTTGGTTCCCGACCAAGAAAATTACATTAATTGTGTATTCTAAACTACCTTCATTATTGTAGAACCCAAGAGTACCATATTAAATCCAGAACTTCACATGTGTATGATTAATATAGATATATGGCCAGTGCAGTCCACTATCTGGGTTATAAACTGATTTCAAACCTAAATAAAAAAAAAAAAGCAAGTTTAAAAAGAGGTGTGTGTGTTGGGGGTGGGGGGCTTTCCATTTTAATTAGTGTGTGAATAAGAGAGGGGGGTATAATCATCATGGGCTGTCACTTATTAAGAGTATGGCACAGCAACTTTTCTCATGGGAGACACAGGATCCTCCACGGGAGACTTTACGAAAGGTGTTGGACCATATCAGTCATGCCTGAAAAATTTTTTTCTTGATCCAGTAAAAGAACCTGTATTGTTGTTTCTTATGTCCAACAAGTTTTCAAGGTTACTTGGGATGTGAAAATGAAAGGAATGCTTTTTTTGTTTCTATTTTTGGCGATACATTTTACTTCACTTTTTTTTATTGACTTTTTGCTGTTTCTCTTTTCAGTTGTGTGTATGGCTAGGCCTTTTATTTAGAAAAATGGCGTTGTTGAACATGAAATACTTATTTAATAACACAGTGTGAAAAATAAAAAGTGGCAGAGAAATAGATTGATCAGAATTAAATAAAAACTTGAAAGAAGGTAGGCCCTGACTGTCTTATAATCCAGAAGAGAGGAAAATCTTCTGCACTGAGTTTCAGGAGTACCATAGCTATCATTATATCAACAGCAACATAAGTCTAACTGCTTTATTATGGGTTATGAAAATTTCCGAACATCTGCTTCTGCATATATATGCACTGTTCATGGGCCACTGTTCATGATGATGAGTTGGCCTAAGTGCCCATGAAAGTTCAGAGTTTGATTTTCTTTCTTCCGGAAAAGAAAACAAATGAAGAGAGAATTCAGTCTCAGGCTGGTCAGTCCATATCAAAACTTCAGTTGATTGAAAGAGACTGCCTTACTATGCTGTTTCACAATGCATAAATGATATGTTATTGTCAAGCACACAGGTTAAATAGTTTTTTGATATTCAGACATTTTTATGGACAGACGCTCCTATTTTCTGGCTACCCCTGTTCTTCATTCTTCAAAATTATTTTGGTCCTTGTGACATTCTACAATGCACGTTTCATTAAGTAATAAACAACTTTTCTTGTACATAAAATTTCCTGTGTTAAATTTGTTACAAAGTGTATGAAATATATAGAAAATACTTTATTTTAGTTTATTTTCTATGATTGAAACAATATAAAATACAACTGAAAACAATTTGTCACATTTCATTCTTCTGTTGTATTTTGGTCCTTGTGTCATTCTACAACCCACATTTCATCAAGTAATCATGGAATTAATTTTTTCTTTCTGTAGATTGTTATAAAGTGTATGAAATATAGAAAACACTTTATTTTAGTTAAATTTTCTCGGATTGAAAACAAAAAAAAGTATGCCTGAAGACATGCATAATTTGTCATGTCTGTAATTTTGCTTCGGTCTGACAGAATTTTCAAGCTTGCCAGACTGAATGTCTGACGGAGTTTCTGGCCTTTCACAGAGTTTGTTCCTCAGTATTGGCAGTAGAATGGATATTGAGTGATGGACTTAGAAATACACTCTGTGTGCAACAGTTGCTGTGTTCAATTGTTTTCTTGCTCCAAAGGTTGTTCAGTAGCCCTGACAATCCTGGTAAATATCACATTTACGGATAGAATGATTTTTTAGCTTCTTCCTCCCAGGAAAATTGGTGTCAGTTGACAAGGGGCATGCAATACAGCCTTTGTAAGATAGATTTGAACTTCCAACAGTTCTTTTTCCTTGTTGTAGGTTGCTGTGAAAGATGGCGTAAGGGAGTCTGGAATCGTCTATACAAATGCAGTGACCTGTCCAGCAGAGTTGATCAACTGGAAAGACAGAATATCTAAGGCTTGGTATGTTTGTAAGTTTTCTGATCTCCAAATTAGATATTCTGTCTTTCCAGTTGATGTTAAGCAGTTGCCTTAGACGGCACATCTGAACCCTTTGGAGTTTGCATATGTGCCACCTGTAGAGGGTGATTTTGATGAAAAAAGAAGATGGTTGAGTACAACAGCATGATAGACTTTGCATCTTGTTTGTAGGCTGATGCCTGGTTGCTTCCAAACAGTGGTTTGAAGCTTAATTGCCTCCAGGGAGGTAAATGGGCAGTCGCCATTCACCAAATGCCGCTGCTGAAACGAGTTGGCGAGTACTATCTCAGTAACTGGTCCAAAAGGGTGTTTGCTTCTAAGCGGCAGCAAGAGAAATACTTGGTTTAAACTTGCCCTGTGAAAAAAAAACTGTCTGTACATGTATATAACTGTCACCTGTGTCTTTTGTCGTCATTGCGGTTTCAGTGATAACGCGATAAGTGGAAATAAGTTTAACCTTATGTCTTCAAGCTTACAGATCTGATGAATATTCATAAAATATAGGTTGTGTTTGAAAAAATCTGCATGATTGAGCCATTTATAAATGCTGTTTTTCGCTTTTTTCAGCATATATGCAATACTGATAACACGTTTTAAGGAAAAACAAAAGACCAATAATAAAATACAGGTCTAGGTCAAAAATCAGTTTGTTTGGGCCATTTTCCAAAAGTTATGCTGTTTCATTTGCTGTCACCTGCATCTGTCATCCCTGTTGTTGCCATTCACTTTCAGTGATAACACGATAAATGGAAAAACATTTTATCTTTTGTCTTCAAACTGATTAATATTCATAAAATATAGGTTGAGTTCGAAAATCAGCATGATCTGGCCATTTTGTCAAAAATTATTTTTTGACTAATTTTCATTTGTTTGTTTTATGACTGCTGCTTTTGATAAATGTGTACAGTAGTTGTTTGTGTTATTATTAGATCTATAGCAATAAAATATTTTTATATGTTAACTTTCCTGTAATCTTGTTTTGTTAAAAAAAGCTGTAAAACTGGCATAGCCTGTTAAGTACCTGGAATTCTTTTTGAATCTGGATGATTATTTAGAAAAAAAAGTATTCCATTGCATGCTTAGTAAACCCCTCCCAAGTAATTTTAGTTTTAAATATGGTACAGCAACCAAGCCACTGGGCCTAGTTGCATTCAGTAGCAACAAAGTGAAAAGTTGATGTCGAGCCGCACCCAAGGTATATAAAAAAGAATTTTTGTTAAGTTACTTTTCTTCTGTGCTTCATATATGTATTTAACAGGTTAATAATTTGTATATCTTAACTGTGGCAAGATTGATTAATTAAATTAATTATACCTTTTCAGATCTGTGTGAATGTCTTATCGACTCTAATGCCTCCGGCCAGTATGACAGCTTTGACAGAACAAGCAACAAAGTTGCTGGACTTCAACCAAAAACTTGATATCAATTTGCTTGACCATGTTGTGGGCTGCATGTATAGTGGCGAAGGACAAACAGTAAGTATGGTTTTTTCTTTGTTATTGAAGTCTTTATGATGGGGTATACCATCCCGCTTGATGCCAGATGCTGCTGTCACACCACGAGTCCTACAGTGGCCATTTTGGTGAAAGACTACTGGTAGTTTTCATCATAAAAATGACTCGGTATTGGTGCTCAAATAAATGTCGAAATAGACAAGGTGGGTATCAGTTTCTCAGCCACTCATTATATTGACAATTTAATGACCTTGAATTTGACATTGACCTAATTTTTACCATGAACTTGTCTTTGCAAATTAGCAGAGATATAAACATAGTTACTATTGAACTTGAATAGTGACTCTTAATGTGACCTTGGGATTTGAAGTTTGACTTATTAGTGACTTAGCACATTTTTTAGCCCATATTCCTCTACAACTAAAACGTGCATCCATAGCTACCATTTAATTTCATTGAGCTTAATCATTTTAAAATTTGGTGTTGATTTTGGTGTTAAAGGGATAATAACTCTTCGTTTCCGCCATAAAATGAATTTTTCTGGAGTAAACAACAATTTTCCCATACTTACCAATGGTTAATGAATCCATTTTTACATTCAAAGTTAGTCCCTGGTTTTTTTCTAAAAAGTTTGGTTTTTTGT